TTGGTTAATTCCTGCACTTCCATGCAGGCACATCCACCCAGCCCTGCCTTGATGGGCACAGGTAGCAGGAATCCCACAGGTGGGAGTGCCTGGCAGGACAGAACTCTGTGTGCTTTGTGCTTCCCTGGACGTTTTTGGCTGTGCTAAGCTCTTGCCTTTGTTGTCTTTAGTCCCTGGAAAGCATGATCAAGCCAGCAGTGGATGACGTGGTGAGCTTCCTGCAGCAGCACGTTCAGGAGGACTTGGCACAGCTGACCAGGATTTTGGGGAAGAGTGTGGATGACACTATCAACATCCTGCACCTGGTGCTCAGCAGCCTCCTGCAGGCCCCCCAGCAGCAGCCAGGCCAGTGTAAGGAAAGCCACCTGCCCTGTCACACCTGGGGCTGTGGTTGAAGGGCTGTGGCCATGCAGCCACCTTCCTGATAAACCCCTTCCAACAGCAGCAGCTGAGCTGAAGAGGAAAATAGAGAGTTTGAAGCTTGTTTCTTACTGTAGGGAGGGAAGAATTTTCAGCTGTTTGCTACTTTCAGTCGAGTACATGGGGTTTGCAAGGTTTGGTGCAGTCAATAACTCTGAAAATGAATTATTGACAAAACAACCTCGTGACAGATGGGCAGAGCTTGCAGCTCCTGAGCAGGGCTGCTCTCCCAGCACTCAGCTCGTGCTGTGTGCAATCCCTGTTCTGTGCTGCCTCTCAGTCACTCCCAGAAGCTCTTTGGGAGAAGAGGGATGGCACAGTGGGGTCTGGAGTTGCTGTGGTACAAAGGCATTAATGTGGAAATAGCCCATATTTGGAGGGTGAGACAGCATGAATCAGTATTCCAAGCTTCACTCTGTCATTGATCATGGTCTGACCTTGGACAACCTGTTCAATATTTCTGGGGTTATGAAGGAGTTGTGTAAATGTCCCCATCATTCACACAAAGCTCCTGGAAACCTGGATCACTGTGTGATGTTTGGGTGTCACTCTCCAGCTGGACCAAGCTACTCAGTTAACTTCTAGCACCTGTGAATCTGTGCTTTCTTTTCACTAAAATATTGCAGATTTAAGAGGTGAAATATTCCTTTTGCAGGGCTGGTGCAGTTTGATGATGTTCTCTCCACCAAGGAGAAGAGAAACAAATGGGAAGAAATTGCAGACAAAATTATTGTTCCTGAATTGAAGGTGAGAAATCTGCTGTGCAGAGTCAGTAGCTGAGCAGTTCAAAATCCACTGGAAATCTATGTGCTGTAATATCTGTGCTACACTTTTCACCTGGCTGTTCCTAAAGCCAGCCCATCCATGGCACAGCTGCAGGTTAAGGATTAGCCATCTTTATTCTACCTGGGGAAATGGGAGCCTGAGACTGGAGTTGTTCTGGGATGAATTCGTATTGCTGGAAAAGCAGAAATGGTGTAGCTCTTTTGAAGGTATTTCACAGCATCCAATAACTTATTATTTTTTAAATACAGGATTTGGATAAAAAGCTTCTGAAGTTAAACCGACGGATACAAGAGGATGAGAGAATCTCTTCCAACCCCATAGTGAAAATAGTGTATGGGGACCCAGCTGCATTCCTGTCCCAGCTGCCAGGGGACAGCCACATCCACCATTCCAAGATGTGGAGCTGCCGCAGGAGGGTTTCTGTGGAGAACCTGGGCCACGTTGTGCAGCAGAAGAATGCCAAGGACACTGTCCCTCTCCTCTGGAAGTTCCTGCAGAAGGTGGGGCTGGCACAGGGGTGAGAGCCTTGGATTGCCCAGGACTAAACTATGTTTGGATTATCTCAGTACTTACTGTGATCTCATCCTGAAGCTGAGACGTGTCCAAGCTGTGGCTGAATTGAAACCCACGTGGAGGTAGGAGTTGCACACCCAAAGCCACCACAGTTGTTCACTAAAGCTTCTCTGCCTCAGCGTGCACACAGTGGGAACATTCCCTTGGCACATGCATGTCCTGGGGGACATGGCCCAGGCAACAGCATCAGGAATATCCACACATTTCTGGCAGGTGTCACTTCCATCTCACACAGGCTCTCTTGGGAACACTGCTGGAACACTCCAAGAGCTGCTGTCCAGGTCACAAACACCAGCATTTCTGCAGGCACTTGGATAAAATAAGAACAGAATCACAAACTCATTAAGAATGGAAAAAAACCTCCATGGTGCTCAAGGCCAGCCTTCAGGGATAGGCACACAGTTCTGCACAGGCACAGCTCAGCCCCAGAGCTCAGCTCTGCCCTGCAGCCTCCCCTCGCCGGGCTCTGTGCCTCCACCTGGCTGTTTAACCCTGCTCACTCCACACACACCCGTTCAGTTGTGGATATTGAGCATTTTGGGTGGTGCAGTGCATTCATACTGTGGGACTTGAGCTCGGCTGTACCCTGCTGTTAATGCCATTCTGCTCTGTCTTCCAGCCTGAAGGAATC